AGTTACCACTACATTTTTTAGTTCCGAAATTATTTCTGATCTAATTTCTTCTATACCTTTCTGCAGTTGATTCTTTACTGTCAACGCTATTATTTCAGAGATATCTGGTGTGTGATTACCAGCTTCCTCTATGCTAGTGTCTTCTGCATTTGTACTGGGTGGACTCGGGGCCTTAGACTGCATTTTGTTCCTTCTCTTTGTCATTTTGTGTACCACTGTCTTCTGACTTTGTTGTAGAGCTTAGATAGAGTTATTACCTTAGCACCAGGTCCGGATCTATGAAGTTCAGATTCCTCCAGGTGGGTGTTGTTTGAATCTGGTTGCCCTGCTCCACTTCTCTCTGCTGCAGTCATTAAGGTTGAACCCTTTGTGTCTCTCTGGGAAGATGTTCTGCTCCTGAATCAGCTGGGTAGGTCTTGCCTCTAGCCTCTTTGCAGGGAGTTCTATTGAAGGGTTCCCTGCTGGGCCTGCACTCTGGGTCTATTCAGGATCCCGCCAGGCCCCGGGTCATCTCACTCACTCCCTGGGCCTGCGCTCTGGGTCTGTTCAGGATCCCTCGGCCTGGGTTTGTCTCTCTCACTCACAGGGCCTGCGCTCTGGGTCTGTTCAGGATCCCGCAGCCCGGGTCATCTCACTCACTCACCGGGCCTGTGCTCTGGGTCTGTCCATCCTCATAACATTTAATTTACATTTCTGTATCTCTTTGCCCTTTGATTTGTGTATATTTTTCTTGTATTTTTCCTTTGCTCACTAAACTGAATTCTTCAAGGACAATTTATCTTTAATTATTTCTGTGCTTTCTGTTTCTGACACAGTCCTGATCATGAAATAAGAACAATGAAGATTAAGGAAAGGAAAATAGAGAAATAAATATTCAGTACTTTGCATTTCTCTGGGTCTGACCTTATCCCTTGTATACAGATCCTATACATATATTTTCTCTATGTTCTGATAATAAGAAGTTAGTGTTATTCTGGATAAGCTGTATGATTAAAATCAATATTAACCTCTGAGCCAGATCTTACATAATTAGTAGTCCTCCATATGTCAGCCACATGTTCTTCATTATCATTCATGTTCCAGCTGGGAGTATGAGTTATCTCCTGATAGTCAATTGCTTTGGGAATGTACAATTTGGAACAGGCGGTCCATATTCCAACAATCTTCTTGTATCACTTTTTTGGGGGTCTATTTTGATGCTGAACTCTTTATTGATTCTGATGTAGTAGATTGAAGTGAACTTTCCTGAATCATGTGTCAAACATTTCCAGAAGGAGTTTTTTAATAAAACTATTTCTACTCAAACCGTAGGTTAGTTCGAAAGTTTTAGAAGGAAAACTGACTGGGTGGTCTTGATCAAAATATTTAACCACTATCTGAGAGTAGTGGTGCCACACACCTGTAACGTAGGGTCCCACTGTGCTCACTGCTAGCCCATTTGTCACCATCATGCTCAAAATTGCTTTAGAAGATGCTATCAAGTCTGTATTTGTAACTCAAGACTTCCATCATTAATGCACGAGGGTTCAAAATTTTAAATGTATGGGGTGGGGATGTAGCTTGCTGAGATTCACAAGGTCAGGGATTCTATCCCCAGCACTACAAAATGAAATAAAAATACAAATTTATCTGAAACACCAGGCAAATATGCTGTGAAAGGGCAGTGCTCAACTCACTGTTGCTGGGAATATAAATCATTCCTCAGTGTGGAGAACAGAATGGTGTTCCCTTCAAAAATTTAAAACAGAGCTTCCATATGTTTAGAAATCTCATTATTGGATGTACACGCCAACACAAAATGAAACAAGGCAAAACAAAAACAAAAACAGAACAGTATGTTAAGGAGATAGCTCCACTTTCATGTTTACTGTAGCAGCATTCATAGCAGCTAAAGCATAGAATCAATTTAAGGCTGGGGATGTAGCTCAGTGACACTGCACCTTCCCGGCAAGCATGAGTTTGAGTCCCAGTTCCAAAAACGCCTCCCCTAAACACCCAACCAAAAATGACATGTCAACTTAAGTGTTCATGGGTGAATGGATTTAATAAAATGGCATATATATGCCATTATATATTTCATTATATGAATAATGAAATCCTATGACACGTGGCAGTGTGAATAAGCTTGGAAGACATTGTGTTAAGTGATATACCCAGGCCCAAAAAGACAGATACTGTATGATCTGATAATACGTAGATGCTAATAAAGTTTATCTCCTGGAAGCAGAGAATAGAATAGTGGTGGCTAATGACTGCGAAGGGGAGGGAGAGGAAGAGATAGGGAAAGACTGATTAACAGGCACAAAATTACAGTTAGGAGGAATAACTTGTAGTGCTTCTTTGCATAGTAGGGTGACTATAAATAGTAGTTATTGTGTATTTCAAAATAGGTAATAAGAGGATTTTGAATAATCACTACAAAAATAAACATGAGGTGATGGGTATGCTAGTTACTCTGATTTGATAATTACACATTATACACAGGCATCAAAATATCACATTATACTCCATAAATATGTATCAATTAAAATAAAATAAGAAAAAAGATCAGGCTTATTCAGGTAAGATGCAAGAGTTTATCTTCCGAATATTTTACAAATTTTAAAAATTAAGTTTATTTTCTGCTTACCATGTGATGAATGCTGTACCAATATTTTATTCATATTAGCTCTTATGAACTTAACCATGACAATCTGAAGTGGGCATTTTAATGACTAATTAAAGATGAGAAAGCTAAATTTCAGGATTAAAAGAGTAGAAAACTAAATTTTGATTAAAAGGTAAGAGAACTAAACTGCAAATTTAGTAGTTTGTCCTCAGTGACACAGATTGAAAATGACAGCTACATTTGGTATCAGCCAACTATTTCAGATCAAACATTGGCTTGTGAAGTTTTTTCTTCAATTTATTTTGAGTAGGCATTCCCATATGTGTTTTCACATTAGTACTTTTCAGTAGCTTGGTATGCTTTAATGAGAATCTAATGCAAAACCTAGAATGTGGTACTTTCCACAGATACCTTAAAAGTTACTTTAGAAAGGTAATACAGCTAACATTTAAAAGAGGAGTTAAAAGTAGTTTCACTCCTTAACTTAAATGTGAGTTTCCAAACACATCCTAACACAGGCTGGGGAAAACGGCTTCTAATTAATTGCCTCACTAATTTTTTTTCTCAGTTGGCAGACATAATTTTATAGCAGAAAGCCCAATTTCCTTAATACCTTTTTTCCTCCTCTAAGGATTTCTTTGTGAGACCAGAACTGGAAGGTACTTACAGAATCGAGGTTTTGCATGAACATTATGGAGTCTCTTGCAGTCTGGGATTTGTTTGGGATAAATGTGCATTTCCCTTCATACAGTCCTGTCTGTGAGTCACGTCTGCATGGCCTTGTTATACAGCTGTCTCCTTTGCATTCATTGAAAACCACATTCGTACCAGTAATAGTAGTGGAACATCTGTGATGAAAGCATGAAATTACACTTTTATCTGAAGACTGGGAGAATCAGAAATAGCATGACTTTCTCTGTGACAGTTGTCATAGATCATGTAGCAGTGTTTCATTTTGACAAAAGCACAACGCTGTACCCTTATTTGCCATCAGTTTCTATAAGAACAATGTTTTTGGTTAATGTTTATTAAAACATTTCTTGTTTACACTAATGTCATTGATAAATCTGTTACCTTTGGGACTTTGGGCTATGAAAACTGATTTACATGGATGGTATGAAGATTAAATGAATTAAGAGAGATGGCAGAATTGCTTCTAAATGCTATGGGGCGGGTCAATGTTATGCTTAAATTTTTTTTAAGCTTCTAACTGTGAAATATACACTCATATCTAGAGCATTTGGAAATTTATTTTTGAGAACCAATGAGGTAGACTGGAGGAAGAAGTAAAAGTAAGTCTTGCCTGAAAATATTTATGTATTCACAATATTTGGTCTTGATGACAAAGATAATTATTAAGTCCCTGGCAGGATATAGGCTGACATATGGGTAAAGAATTTGAAAAAATTCTTTAAATATGCACAACTTCCTGCCATTCCATGTTATTACTACTATATAACAGTCCATTTTAATAAATTTTCTTGTATTGCAAGGATTAAGGTAGGGGAAGCAATATCTTCCAAGAGAGCTAGCTCCACCTAGCCTGGAAGTTGAACTTACACAAGACTTCACTGCCCTAATGTGCCTGGTATACAATAAATGTTTTAGGTATCTGTTTTTATTAATGCAGCTCTTTTAAAATATTCAATAAATATATTAAACACTATCTTTTAATCTTTTTATGACATTATAAGGAAGCCCATTTGTTTGAGAAATTTACTGTTTGTTACATTCTTCGATTAACTTTGATCTTATAACTAGCCATAGGACATGGAATTAAATGGAAACAAAATAAAAAACAAATAGAAAAACAACCCACAGTTCTGAAGCATAGTCTAGCAGAGAAAATAAGATTATATGTATAATTACTGCTTAGGGACATAAGTGTGAGAGAGGCCCACAAATATGTTGCTGCGGGAACATTCCCAAGGACATCTAGCCTCCACTGGAGGGGGACAGGAAAGGGATTTAGAGAAGAAACATTTCAAGAATGAACAGGCTGGGGCTGGGGTGATAGCTCAGTAGAATAAGTGCTTGCCTGGCAAGCACAGGGGCCTGAGTTCAATCCTCGGTTCTGAAAAAAAAAAAAAAAAAAAAAGGCATTGTTTGGGCAAGGGAGTTTTGCGAGATGCAGGTGAGAGTAATAGTGTCCTAGCTATGAGTTTTGGTCTGTGGAAGAGTCCAGGCAACTCTGGGAAGATTTAGCAAATAGCACAAGCAGCTAGGGAGTGATTTTTCTAGCTCCCTTTTTTCACCTAACACATTATTTTCTCTCAAATTCTTTCCTTATCTTATTGATTTCTATTGTTCTTCTATACTCTTTAAATATTCCACATGCTTGATATTTTTAACTTAAAGTTTTAAACATCTTATCTATCTATATAGTTTATCCCCCAGAGTTACATTGCTTTTAAGAAGTCTGTTTTCTGACTTACCCTTACGATAAAAATGTTTTTCTTCAAATGGAAAGTAAAATATATTTACCATGAAGTTTTTACAGTTTAATTGATTTCAATGAAGCAGATTTATTAAGAAGTTATGAACCAAATGGAACAGAAATGTAGGTAGGATTGAATTCCAATTCTCAGATATCTTCAGGTTTAGGTTTTCCATTGTTTTCAGTTGGTAACATGTTAGTACAACTCCTGTGCACACTAAAATGATTCTCATTTCCTGAGTGGTCGTGATTCCAAGGTGAAAGTCTCACAACTAATTAGATGCATTCATAATGATACAGGTAGAATATGGAAATTGACTATATGAATACCCAACCATTTGAGATAACCTTTGCTTGATAGATTTGTTTAACACAGTGATACCTTGTTGCTTCAATGGTGTTCTTTCTGGAAAAATAAAATGGCCGGTCCACATTATATTCATCAAACACTCCCCACCGGAGGTGAGCCCACTCATGGACAAAGACTCTGCCTGTGAGAAAATATTGCCATTTGTGAGTTTATAGTTACAGTATTTTAATATGATTTCCTTATGTCTCTGCCCCATCTTCCAAACTAATTGAATTAAGAAACTCTACAATGTGACACTTTTCATTATGATAAAAAAGTTGTAATGAGTTAATACCAATAAATGACTCATTTTACATTTAAACCTGTACAAACAAAGAAATAGGTTGAAACAGAACTAGTGTATTTTTAAGCAAAGTTATTACTTAATACATATTTTCTCCTCTTAAAATCTTTAAAAATAACATTAATCATATTGTTAGCTTTTTTCCATAGGGAATAAAAATAGAAATACAAAATAGATATCCTTACCTCGGGGCCCATAGATAGATGAATTATTAGTCAACAGGAAATTTGGAGTAAAATGTATATATTGTCCTTTGTCTCCACATTGTCCATATTGCAGTGTGTAGGGGTCATCGCCGTACTTAGGATAAGGATCAGCAACTATGACATCTGCCTAAACAGTAGAACAACAAGCAAGCAAACAGAAATTCCAGGAGCAACAGAGGCAAAGATTTGAAAAACAAGGACTTTTAATCTACATTAAGAAAATTTAATTGGATCACTGATTTAATTACTAAATTAGAAATTACCAAAAAATACATTTATTTTTAAAAAGCATAGGAAGCAGTTTAAGATCTAAATGGCCTACCTGGTCATAGGATTCTTGTTTTGGCATTAAGTAGTCAGATTTTGACTTCCAAGTCATTGGTATTAAAATGCTTACATTTCTGAAGTAAACTCTTTGTTTGGTGGCATAAAACAGGTAAGTAGAAGCTTCAGTAACCATTTCCTGACAAAAATAAAAGTACCTTATGGTAACAATTTCATAGTGAGGTGAATCTGACAAGAAGAAGTGAATCAGTCTGCTTTTCCCAAATATTTTTGCAAAGACCAAATGAGAAATAGGTTGAATTTTGCTGCACCACTTCAGTCTGTAAAGTCATCTGTATATTACCACAATGAGTCTGTTTTTTACCTCTCCACACCTATAATCAGTATTGGAGATGTGAACAAGGGTACTGGTTGAGCTACAAAGGTGATTAAGTCTGGCTCTCTGATGGCAAGTTGCTTAATCCAATAGAGATTCTTCTCCCTCCCTTCCCCTCCTCTTCTTTTTCTGTCACTCTGTCTCTGTCTCTGTCTCTGTCTGTCTCTGTCTGTCTCTGTCTCTGTCTCTGTCTCTGTCTCTCTCTCTCTCTCTCTCTCTCTCTCTCTCCTCCCTCCCTCCCTCCTTCTCTGTCCCTCCCTCCTGGGGATTGAACTTGGGGCTTTCACACCAAACTTCATCCCCAGCAACTCCCCTACACATTACCCTTTTTTTTTTCATTTAATTTTGAGATATATTCTTGCTAAATTGGCTGGGCTGAGCTCAAGTTTGTAATCCTTCTGCATCAGTCTCCTAAGTACTGGAATTATAGGTATGCACCACCAGGCCTGGCCAGAGTTCTTATAATTGAGTTGTTTAAATAAATCTATTTTTATAATAGAATGATTCTTATACAGCAATTAACCACTAGGAAGAGTGTATGCAGTGTGTTAATTATTGAAACTGTCCTACCGATTTGATTTGCAACTGTCTCATTGCTATTTGTTTATCAATAAAATTATGGGAAAAATAAATCTATTTTTATACCTAATACTACTTTTAAAATGTTTTGCTAGATTTATTTTTACTTACTCCTTCACATGGGTATGTTTATGTAAAACTTACCTAGTAGTGATAATGAAAATATATAGATGTACAGGCTCATGGTCCCAGTTTTGTCACTTATTATATACTGTATACATCATTTAATCTTTCTCAATTAGTTAAAAAACCCTAAGGGGTTGGTGAGAAAATATATAAGTGTACAGGCTCACTGTCTAAAGTGCCCGTTTAGGCAAGCTTAGGCAAAGCTCAGAGACTGCAGTTTGATGCCTGGCACCATGCATTGTGCCGTCCCTGGGGCTGAGACGGCCACAAAATCAAAACGAAACTGAAAAACAAAACCCTAATAATCTTTTTTTGCTGGTCACCTCATAAGAACGTAATATATGTCAAAGTCTTGCACAAAATGTTTTTATTATATGAGTAATGGAAATAAAATTTGGATGATAAAACAGCCTCAATATGCATAATATTTTCTTTCTTTTTGTGGTACTGGGGATTGAACTCAGACCCTTGTGCTTGCCAGGGAAGTGCTTATTCTACTGAGCCATCTCCCCGACCCCCATAATATTTTCTTTAAAATAAGTTACAAATAATTTTTATGTTTTTAAGAATTAATCAAGTATGAAAAACCAGAGAAATGTATAACACAATGAACTTCAATATATATTAGTGTCATACATGTACATTAGTTATTTAACTTTCTAAAAGTAACTTTATAAAAGATAAAATGCAAAAACATTTTTCCATGGGCTCTTAAGTTTTCTGTTAGGTTAGCTGGATGAAAAAATAGTAGGTTGGTGTTTTAATAATTCATTAAGGGAATGACTACTGGTATTAATTAATCATAAAACTAAGAAGATATTATTCTTGACCACTTAGATAAATAATACCTGAATGGTGAGTATTGTTAAAGCAACTTTGTGAAATTTATACTATGTGTGTCTTTGCGCCTATATGAAAGTAGTTACTGACATAAAAATATGTGGATAATAAAATTTTCTCTTACCTTTATACTTTGAATGAGTTTTTCATCTTCTGGTACACTGGGGTTAATTGCAATGACAATGCCTTCATATCCATTATTATTCAACTTTACCATGGAGGTTTTCACCTCAGGCAAGAGATGCCAGGCTAAGAATAAAATAACCTTCAAATTGAACATGATAATTGCATGCACAAGCTGCGATTAATCTCATGCAAAGGAGAGTATTTATGCATCTGTGTAACTCAGGAATTTGAATCAAGACCAAAATATTTGCATAAATATGATTGAGTAAAATACAATTTCTTGATGAACTTCCTTATTTTGTTCTAAAGACTTTGTTGTTAAGTGGCAATTTCAATGCATTAATCATACTCTCTAAGACAGCTAAGTCACTACATATTCATTGAATTGAACCCTTAGATTGTTTGTGTAATCATCCTTCTAGTAATGGGTGGTTATTGTCATCACGATTACTATTAAATAGTCTTGGAGGTATAAGTCCACCGATCTGTTTACAGAAAGGCACTCTAGGGTAAGAGGAACTGAATGCAAAAGCACCAGGAAAGAGAGATGGAAAAGACTTATATTAAAAACAAAAGAGCAGAAACCACAAAGTAGGGGTGACAGTTAATGAAGTATTTGTATTTCTTTAGTTAGGAGTTGTATAAGCACAGTGGTTCAAAATACCTATGGGCCGGGGGACAACTTTTTAGGTCATTTATAATAGCTGATTGTTTATTTCAGTGTTCAGATAACATTGGATATGTTAAATCCTTGTGTAACCTGAAAAGTTAATGTGAAAAACTAACGAACAGTTAAGATTTCTGTTTTGAATGAACACAAATGTTTCTTAGCTTAAAATAATAGTATACATAACAATGAAAACTGGCTCTGGAATCTCTTAATAGTCATATGGTTCTTGGTCACTTTTGCCTTGGTTACCATGTTCACTTGATTCTAAGAGTTATGTGGCTCTTTTTTATGCCTATTTTCTTTTTTGTGATATCAGAATAAATTATGGGATGTTGAAAGAACTTAATGAGATAATCCATGCAGAGCACTTCAAACAAAATTTCTGACACCTCAGGCCTCAATACATACTAAATATTGTTGTGCAACTATATCTATATCTATATCTATATATAAATATGAAACTTGCTATACATTTTTGCTAACTAGATTCTGTGTTTCTATCACTTGTTTTATAACACTGTCAATGTAGTGCTCCACTGTTTAATGGCAATGAAAAATCTCTAGGCCTGAGACTAGAAGAGGAGCAGTCTATCAGAGTGAACCCTAAGTTTTTGGCTCTGTTCATCTATTGACAGTATCCTTATTGGCTAAGCCTAGGAGTGGCCTGATACATAGTCTTCCCAAATCATTCACACTAGAAGTAACCTGCCTTAGAAAAACAAACAAGCAAAAAACCCCCCAAAGAACACAATAAAACAAAACTTTATTTGAACCACTCTGTTAACATACCATGTAGGTTCCTTTTGCTATTAATGTACATAGCATATCTCCTTACTAGCTGTAATTTCCTTGTAGGGAAATGATTTTTTTTAAAGTTTAATTTCCCTCAACCTTAATTTCCTTAACTGTGAAATGACTACATCTGTATGAAGGGAATGTAGTGACGGTTAAATGAAATAACATGTGAGTGCTGGTGCATGATAGGCCTTCAGTAAGTGTCTAGTCTTTGACATTTTATGCTTTTAAACTTGTATCAAAAATATGTGTGTGCTTGTATGTGCCAGGTCCAGTGTTGTGCTCTTTAGCAAGCACTGAAGTGAATAAAACAAGGCATTGTTTCCAAGGAATCTGAAGACTGGTTGCATGAATAGGATAAGAATAAAAAGAGATTAAAATACAAGATAAAAGTTCTTCAAGAGAGGTGCAAGCCTAATGCCGAGGAGCTCAAAGTTGAGCAATAGTTTCTATATGATGAAGGGAATCATAAAATCTTTTGCAGGTGGATCATTCTTTAGAAATCTGAGGTATAGAGAAATTAATTAATATGCTCTGGATTATAACTTCAGAAAGGGAAAACTTCGTAGTTTAAACCCAAGCAATTCCCTTGCTGAGTCTATGTTTTTAAGAATTTGTGACATAGTACTTCAAAAGGTTGAGAGGAGAATACTGGTTTTGGAAATTATTTTGAAACTAGGTTCTTTTGTTTCTCTCATTGAAAATGGTTGTCAGTAGAACATTTGAGAGAATGTAGATGGCTGTGATTGACTTTGTGTAACTCACAAGAATTTCTATCTTGTTTCAATTTTAGGTTGCATGTGGATTTTTTTTTTTCTGGTTTGCCTTAAATTTGAAAATGGATGCAGATGATACTTCTCTAGCTCACGGATATGGTTCACTGACTTATAGGTTTCTGAAATAACAAATTCTCCACACCTATTCATGCTCCAGTGCAATCATTCTTAGTTGTCATAGTTAATTCTTGTGGAGATTACTCTGGAAATACCTGCTTCTTGAACTTGCAATTGCAGAATGCAGTGAATTGGCAGTTGAAATCCCGTGTAGATAGGTACTTCCTTAGAATTGTCCCCCCAGCTCTTCTTTTGTTGCTGTTTCTTTTGTGCCATCACCTTTGAAATATCATTCTGTTTACTGCCAATAATCATGCTCTGAATTTGAGAATGCTTTTAATTTTTTTATTTATGAATTCTGTCCATTTACTCATCAAACTTGATGAACACTTGCAATGTGTCTGATACTGTGCTACACACTGGTGTAGAACATTAAGTTATTGTCATTACCTTTTTCAGAGTCATTGTGTTCTAGTGGGAATCTCAAACACTAGTAATTATTTTAGTTGATTTTTCTGTTGCTCTTTATATAACAATTAACATTATTGCAGTTCAGAGAATGATCTGATTGATGACTGTATAATTGATTATTGTAAATTTTCTTCCCAGCATTATCTGAAGCTGAATTCATTAGCTTCTACATTCAGTAGCACATCATGTAAGCATCTTAAATATCTACTTTGTCCTTCTTGCTAAACCCTTCGTTTCACTCAGGTAGTCTCCACTTTTATGTGATTAAAGGAAGGTTGCTCTCATTCTAAGCTCAAGGGTAAATCTGAGTTGATCTAGGTTCATGGCCCTCAAAAGAATGCTTTGCAGATCCCTGAAGCTCTCCAAGACCATGTTAGAGGATCTGAAAAGGCAAAGCTATTTTAATTATCATATTAAGTTATTTGTATTTTTAGTGTGTTAACATTTTATAGTGATGCAAAGGATGTGGATAAAATAAATCTAAGCAGTGACACTAAGATGTACTTACTCAATTCTTCATTGCCAATCACTAAAATGATACTGATTTCATTTAGGAATGGCCAGACGAAGCAATAAACATTAACTTCATAAATTTATAACTTTGCACACATATGGTTTTAATGTCATATAGCACTTCTGCTGCATAGCAAACCTGTGATGGCTATCTTGAAGATGTTTGAGCTGAGTGAGCCAAGTTTTCATAAGCACTACTTTTGGAAAGAACTATTAATTCTTTCACTGATTATTTAAATGTATATATTTTCTCAGGTATATCACTTAAAAGAAACAATTAATACTTTTTTTTTTAACCATGATAAAATGTGAGGGTTTTTTTTTTCTTTTTCATTTATGTATTTGGTACAGGATCTCACTACCACTTCAGACTGCTAGTGATCCCACTGTTTTCACCCTCTCCAGCACTGGGATTACAGGCATGTGCCATAACATGCAGATAATGTTTGTGGGCTAAGCATGCCCAGGGGAGGAGGGAGGCAGGGCCAATATGGCATGCAGGAATGGAGATTAAACCCTGGTCCCTGAGCTTGCCAAAGCAGGTGCTTAGTCCATTGAGCTATCTCGCTGGCCCTAAATGTGAGTTCTTAAAAGCTAGTTTTGAAAATATTTTTGCCATTGCAACTTGGCGGCCTATGCCTTTGCCCCAGCCATGCTGGTAACACCCCTGGGAACCCTTAGCGTCCTTGAAAGTGCCATTCTTTCTTCATACTTTCTGAATGAAAGACTCAATCTTCATGGGAAACTTGGATGTTTGCTCATTATTCTGGGATCTACAGTGATGGTCATCCATGCTCCAAAAGAGGAGATAGAGACCTTGAATGAAATGTCTCACAAACTAGGTGACCCAGGCTTTGTGGTCTTCACAACACTTGTGGTCATCGTGGCCTTGATTCTCACGTTCGTGGTTGGTCTTGCCAGGGGCTGACCAACATCCTGGTGTATATCACCTTTCTGTTCCATGATTGGTGCCTTCTCGGTCTCCTGTGTGAAGGGCCTGCGCATTGCCATCAAGGAGCTGCTGGCAGGCAAGCCGGTGCTGCAGCACCCGCTTGCCTGGGTCCTGCTGCTGAGTTTGGTGGTCTGTGTGAGTACTTATATTAACTACCTGTACTGAGCACTGGACGTATTCAACACGTCTATCATGACTCCCATCTACTATGTGTTCTTCACAATCTCAGTTTTAACCTGCTCAGCTATTCTGTTGAGGAGTGCCAGGATATGCCCATGGATGATGTCATCGGAACTCTGAGTGGCTTCTTCACAATCATTGTGGGGATATTCTTGCTGCATGCCTTTAAAGACATCAGCTTTAGTCTAGCAAGTCTGCCCATATCTTTTTGAAAAGATGAAAAAGCAATGAATAGCAATCTATCTAGTACGTAGGAAGTTCTTAATAACAATGAAGAAAGTTTACCTTGTGGAGTTGAACAACACCCTGGCAAAAATATCTCCTGGAGAAATAGAAGCCTGAGAGCTTTTTATGAAAGATGTGATTAAAAGGTTAATCTGTAGTTAGGCTACAACAATGATTTTGAGTTTCAGAATGTGTCTGAAAAAGCACAGTGTTCTCTAAAGACAATCTTTTGCAAAGTTTCACTGATTTGGACCAAGATGTTACTTTTCCTATAATTATACAATGGTAGCTTACTAAAATGACCTTAGTATGTGGCCAGTTTCTATTAACATCATGTTACTGCAGAGGTATTCTACATTTTGATTCTTTCTCTAAAATCTAAATGCACTAGTGACAATTTCATGTCTATAAAAATGCTTTATTTTTTCATTGGTGATGAAGGTCTAAAATGTACATTTGTCATCTCCACTCCACACTCTGGCTGTATAAGGCCTCTAGATTGTAAAAATGAACAG